GTTGAAGCTTAAGCTGATTTCATCGGTGTGTGAAGAAAAGTAAGGTGATCCCCAAGGAATCAGATTCCCCATGTGGAGTAGCTTACAATGGCCTCCGTGTCCCATGCTCAGGTACATAGTAAACCCTGCAGTCCTATGGGGGCAAATGTGTGGATATTTTTAAACATTTTGCCACAATTGCATTTTTTTTTGTTGTTTTTTTGCCTGATGGAATTGTTTCTTTTCTTTTTTTTTTTTTTAAAGATTTTATTTATTTATTTGAGAGAGAGAGTGAGAGAGAGAAAGAGCACAAGAGGGGGGAGCGGGAGAGGGAGAAGCAGACTCCCTGCTGAGCAGGGAGCCCGACGCGGGACTCGATCCTGGGACTCCAGGATCATGACCTGAGTCGAAGGCAGTCACTTAACCAACTGAGCCACCCAGGGGCCCTGGAATTGTTTCTTATAATAAAATCTTTTCTGAGTGACAACTTAAAAAACAACCCCATATGTTGGGATTACATGGGAGAGTGTATGTAAATCCTCTTAGTAGGGTTTTGCTAACAAAGAAGTGTCCCTCAGTTGATACTCTAGAGCCACCTTCTAGATCCTTGTCTTTGTCTTCAGATCCTGATGCAAGAGCAAGATCGCCTCAACTGTCAGGAGGGTCTGCTTGTCCTACTCACTTAGGCTCAGGTCTGTGAGCATCCTCCACCAAGCAGAGCGAGGCCACAGGGAGCTTTGGGGTCTCCGGCGTATCGGTGCCATTGAAGTGAATGTAAGCCGGGTACTGCTCTCCCTTTCGCCTGGCTTCCACCATGGCCACTCTGTTTCTACCCTGTTGTGTGCCCTGAAAGAACTTTGGCATTTGCTGAAAGGTCGTCCGTTGCAATTTTAGACCATTGGGTAACTTGAACTTCTAACATTTAAGTGTAGCTGCAAAGGGGCATGACTGCTGCACCCAGCTGTCAGCCCGGGGCCAGATGGTGGCAGAAATAGCGGACCCTCCCCTGTTGCCTTTATGGATGAGTCACTGAATAAATGGCACTAGTCAATACCGCTCCGTCCTTGTCTCCAAGTTCTCCAGGCTTCTGCTTATTCTTCTCCGGGTAGTTTGCCCCGAAGCACTGGGTGGTTGGTTTCGCTTCCAATCTCTTGTTAACAGATACTTTATAAAACATAATATAACGAATTACAGGAAAGACCAGTGAAGAGAGTTATCATTTAAGCAGAGCTGGGGGAGATGAAACCGTTCTGGAGACAGATGGTGGTGAGGGAGGCACCACACTGCGAATGTATTTGATGCCACCGCACGGTGTGCTTAAAAATGGTCAAAATGGGAAAAAAAACAAAAAAACCAAAAACAAAACCCTGGAAGAATGAAACAAAAAACAATTACATACAAAATGCAGTCCCCGATTATTTAGTATTAGATTGCAATTTCATTTAAATTTAAATTACATTTTATTGCTAGATTTATTGATTTTTTTTAAAAAAGATTTTATTATTTATTTGAGAGAGAGAGAGAGAGCAGGGGAGAGGAACAGAGGGAGAGGGCGAAGCAGGCTTCCCGCGGAGCAGGGAGCCCGATGCGGGGCTCGATCCCAGGACCCTGAGATCATGACCTGAGCCGAAGGCAGACGCCTAACGACTGAGCCACCCAGGCGCCCCTTATTGCTAGATTTAAATCACATTTTTTTTTAAAAGATTTTATTTATTTGAGACAGAATGAGAGAGAGAGAGAGAGAGAGTACGTGAGAGGGGGGAGGGTCAGAGGGAGAAGCAGGCTCCCTGCCGAGCAGGAAGCCTGATGCGGGACTCGATCCAGGGACTCCAGGATCATGACCTGAGCCGGAGGCAGTCGCTTAACCAACTGAGCCACCCAGGAGCCCCTAAATCACATTTTAATATAGATAGAGCAAACATAACATAGGACAATTGCAATAGAAATTTCTAAATACTTTCAATTTTTCTACTAACTTTGTCATGGACTGGTACAGTTTGCAGACTGTCCATGATCCATTCTGTATTTTGTCCTACAGTAAAATGAATTTTTTAAAAAATATAATTATTTGAGTTTAACACACATATAGATTCAAATTGCCGTCACCATCATTAGGATACAGAACAGTCCCATCAGGCAAAAAAACCCTCCCCTGTCCTGACCCTCCCCACCCCCCTAGGCCCTGGCAACCATGGAATTGTTCTCTTTATATTTAATTTCGTTTTTTCAAAATATAAATGGGATCATACCATATATAGTCTTTGAGACTGGCTTCTTTCACTTAGTACAATGTCTTTGAGATTCGTCCCAGGGCTGCATGCAACCAATTTGTTCCTTTTTATTGCTGAATATTAGTCCGTTTTATGGATCTTCCCCAGTTTGTTTATTCATTCACTGGAGAGCATTTGGGTTTGCAGTCTCTGATATGATAAATAGAGCTGCTATAAATATTCATGAAAGGGTGTTTGTGAATGGACATAATCATTTCTCTAGGGAAGATGTGAAGGCCCACTGAACTGGCATTGTTTTGCACCATCATGTGGGAAATCCTTTGATGACAATGTTGTACTTCAAAGGAAACCTGGAAACCAAGAACCAGGACACTCTCTTCTCTTGTATTCACTTACTGGCCCAGAACTCCTAACATCCAGCCATGGCTCTTCTGATAATTATGTCAGAAGAATCATTGTTTATCTCCCACTGGAAAGACAAAACTTAGTTATTCGTTAATAGCAACATGACACGGCAAGGTCATGTAGAAGGCTCCCTCTACGGTTCTTACCATCCCCTGCAGCTCTCAGAAAAGAAAGAGGGCTTTCTGGTCTAGATCCTGGTGATATCAAAATGAAAGTGTTCTGACAGAGCACGTGCCCCTCCACAGAGGTATCTTACCGAAGGCTCACACAAACACGTGCACAAAGTTATGGAAGCTTGTTGAAGCATTGTTTCAAGAGCGAACATTCCCCAAATCATCAAACAGTCCGCACATTGGAATGCAATGTATCTCTGTGTACTGACATGGATGTATATTTCCAAGGTGTTTTGCTGTGGCAGCCACATGAGATTGGTTGACCCATGGATACCAGTGCCCAACCTTTGTAGCAAGGGGTCCTCATATCACACAAATCTGGCCAAAGCTATGTAGGAAGAAGTCCACTGGTGTGTGTGTGTGTGTGTTCTGGGGAAATATTTCTTTTCTAATAAAAGGGAACTAATGTGATTGGAGCTCCCTTCTCCCCCTTTGGGTCTTCAATGTGGGCTAGACATTCAGAATGGTGGTTGCCTTTTTTGTGCTGTTGAGAGGTCTTAGCTGGGAGGCAGAAGCCAGCTGACCAAGGATAACAGAAGAGACAGAGGGGCCCCTAATGGAACCTTTGAATAGCCAAATAAATGCCAGCAGCCACCTCCTAGCGAACTCATGAGAAAATACGAGAAAAACAAGCCCCTGCATATCTAAATCATCTGAGTTTTCTCTCACTTGCAGCTAAACACATTCTGATTGAAATAACTGTCAGAAGAAAAAAATCCTATTGCAGAGCCATGTGTATATTCCTCTATTTTGCAAAATGGAATTATATATGTACACATAATAGTTATATATACATCTGGGGCACCTGGTGGCTCAGTCGGTTAAGCGTCTGCCTTCAGCTCAGGTCATGGTCCCAGGGTCCTGGGATCGAGCCCCGCATCGGGCTCCCTGCTCAGCGGGAAGTCTGCTTCCCCTTCTCCCTCTGCCACTCAACCTGTTATGATCTCTCTCTCTGTGAAAATAAATAAAATCTTTAAAAAAAATAGTTATATATACATCTAAAATAGTTACATATACATCTAAAAACTATAACAATAGCTATATATACATCTAAACTATATGTACACATAATAATTAAATATACATCTAAAATATATACATCAAAAATAGTTATATATATCTATAATAGTTGAGAGATACTGAACACCTACTATGTGACAGGCTCATCTTATCACTTTTAATCCTGATAACCACTCTATAAGGTAGATGTTTTACTGCTCTTCCCATTTATAAGAGAGGAAACTGAGGCTTCAGAAACTTTCCCAGGATAACTAGCAGACAACTAGCTTGGGACTCAGTGTTGGGTCTGTGTGCCCCTGCAGAAGGTTCTTGGTCCACCCTATGCAGGCCCCTACCAGCTCAGTTAGTCCTAGAGAGTAGGTTGGGGGCTGGGCTGGTGGTGAGGACTCTCACTTTTCTTTCTTGTTTATTTTTAAAGATTTTATTTATTTATTTGAGAGAGAGAGAGAGAGAGCACAAGCAGGGGGAGGGGCAGAGGGAGAAGCAGACTTCCTGCTGAGCAGGGAGTCCCATGGGGGACTTGATCCCAGGACGCTGGGATCATGACCTGAGCCGAAGGCAGACGCTTAACCGACTGAGCCACCCAGGGGCCCCTCACTTTTCTTTGTATATTTCCGTAGTGTTTCCTTTCAGTAAGCAAGTAGTATTTTTGAATTAGGAATTGATAAAACAACCCTGATGTGAGGCACTGCGCTAGGAATATAATTTTCTTCTTCTAGACTTAGTTATCTATTACGGATACCCACTCAGTCATACATGCTTTTTGGAAATAAGAAGCACCCGTTTCAAACATTTATGAAAGACCCCCTGGCTAAGCGGTCCCAGGATTGACATTATCTTATTACATGACCTATACCCCAGATAAGCTGTCTGCCAGTCTGCCTCCCATAGGCACTGGGGAATTGGGTTCTGCGGTAGATCTATTCGAAGAATCCTGAGTCCTTGAATGAGAGGGTTTTATGGATGGTTCTTTAGTGGCTGGATTTCTCATCTCCCACCAGTTACTAAAGGGTTGCTTCCTAGGATCTTTAAAAGAAAAGGTTCATCAAGAGAAAGTAGGTGTGTGTTTCTGGGCTGCCCGATTCTATTTACAGCTTGCTTATGGTGCTTCGGCAGCCTACCAAATCAGCCTGCCAGAGAGATTTCCTTGAGGGCTTGCCCAGTTATCTTAACCACGTGGGTCAGGGCACTTTTTCCTTAAAGGTCCTGGCAGGGCCGGCAGGAACCAGCTCTGATACCAAGGAGCTACAGCCTGTAGAGATAAACAGGGCGAAAAGAAGGATTTGAAAAGTTACCCGCCACGATGTCGGACAGAAGCCCCTTCGAAACGGACATGCTCACCCTCACTCGCTATGTTATGGAAAAGGGGCGTCAGGCCAAAGGGACCGGGGAGCTCACACAGCTACTGAACTCCATGCTGACGGCCATCAAAGCCATATCCTCGGCTGTGCGCAAGGCTGGCCTGGCCCACCTGTGAGTCCGGGGGGAGCAGGTGTGGGTGCTCAGACACACAGGGATTGAGGCCCAGGTGGGGCATGGGCAAAGCTGCAGGTGCTTGGGCCAGCTGCCTGGGTCAAGAGCTATTTGCCTCTGCGCCCTGGAGGGGAGGCGCTTTTAAAAGTTTCTGCTTGATAAAGGGCTTTTGACTTGTTTCAAGAAAGGAACAAAATACTTGGAGACATGGTATGGAGAAAAAAAGATAAAATTTTTCTTTTTCCTTTTCTTAATATATAATTTTTCCAGTGGCCATGTAATATAAGCTCAGGGGCTTGTTGCATTAAAAATATAGGTTGAATTATGGTGACTTGTATCTTGTGGCCCAAGGAAAGAGCAAGGAAGACTTATTTCGCTTCATGCTCTTTAGCAGATACGAGCATTTTCTTGCCATGAACTTTGACAACGTGCTAGGAGCTAGGAATCATTTATAAAATAACTTTCTGCCCTGAAGCTCCAGTCTTACTCTGGAAAGGAGTCTTTTGCTTTAAAAACAATTTTGTGTTTCTTCTCTGTGACTCTTTATCTTCTTTTCTACTTGGTGTGCAGGAAGCGGGGAGGTTCTGGGTTTAGGAGGAGGGAATGCAGAGCGTTCTTCCACTTTGTTCTCTTCTGTACTCTGTCCAAGCACAGAACGAGGCCAAGTTCATGCTACAGCTGCTGACTGTCACAGCTGCTGACCTTAAAAAATAAGTCGCTTATCTTATCAGCAAAAATGAGTTTATTGGGGAATAGCAGAGAATTGCAATCTGGGACAAGCAAGCTATGTCAAAAACCATAGGCTGGTCTAACAAAGGAGAAGAAGGTTATTTTACGGAGGAGGAAATTGAAAATTATTGTTTTGAACAAAAGCAAGAGTTCAGGGCCATAATGATTTCTTACTGGCTGAGTTGCTGGGGTAGGCCATTTCTTATAGGAGATGCGATGTGCATCTTTCCCTGTGGGGGGCTGTAATTGATGATTTCCTGGAGGATTTTTCTATTGGGGTTTGGAATTGACAACACTTCTGGAATGACATCCAGCGGCACTGTGTGAGGGCTCCCCCTTCTGGCCTCCTGACTCAATTTTAGTGAGGTTTCCCTTTATTAATTTTCACACAGCCTAGTGTCCAGGTTAAGTCTGCGGTAAAAAGAAGCTGGCTTTCTCTGGGGTTCCATTTTCTTAGTAGCAATTCCAGTGGCGGTCTTCTCAAAAGTTGAAGGGACCCATTATTATTATTCCTCCAAAAATGAAATAACAAAAAGAAATATCAAAATCTAATAATTTAAAATATTAATTCTTAACAATTTAGTACTTTTAATACAAAAAATTTGATAGTGTTATGGGGTACCTGGGTGGCTCAGTCGATTACGCATCTGACTCTTGATCTCAGCTCAGGTCTCGATCTCAGGGTCATGAGTTCAAGCCCTGTGTCGGGCTCCACACTGGGGGTGGAACCTACTTAAAAAAAAAAAAAAGATGCATTATGATCTCCTTTCTCTGCTTATTATTACCTCATTCAGCAATAATGGCCAAGCTCTACGATTAAGAACTTTCATGAATATGAGGTGCAGCCATTTGCGTCTGTCCTGCTCCTATGAGGTGATGGGTCATACTGAGTGACACTAAACAGTGACTTTGCCTGTCCCTATATGTGTGCCCTGCTATGCTTAGAGTCATTTTCTGGGCCTCTCCGCTGCTTGCTGCCATTTCAGTATTAGCTGCCCCTTTAATGGGTTCCTCCTCTGTGCAGGATGCTTAGGTAGGCAGCGGCTGCCGTGGTAGGGTTGTACTAATCGGCTTCAGAACTCTAACTTTGTGGCTGTTGAGTGTCCAGATGAAGCAGACTCAGGAATTGGATAATAGGGTGTTTACTGAACTTGGCTCTTCCTTCCATGTGATTGTCTACTCTTGTCAGGACCTCAGTTGCCCATTTGTAAACTGGAGGGGATGCTAACAGCCCCTAACTTATAGGGTTGTTGTAAGGCTTAGTGAATCCATAGGATGAAGATTTCAACAGTGCCAGATCCATAAGAAATGCTCAGTAAATGCTCCTTATTACAGTGGTTCCAAGCCCAAATCTGGGGAAATATTGCAGGCGGGCTGGTCCATGCTGCTGATTGTCCCCTAGGCGGCAGGTACAGCCCACTGAATCAAGACGTCAGACTCCACCTTTTTCTCAGAGGCCGAGGTCCTCAGGCTGGCAGGAGCCCCACATCCGGCCAATTCAGATGACATCCTTCCCCTGGCTCCTCAGTAAGAAACACCAAAATGGCAGTGTGAGAAGCCCATTGTCTGGAAATTCCTTCTTTCTAACAAAATGCTGAGAATAATAAACAGGACCCTGGAATTGCTTCTCATATTACTAGAAGGTCACTCTCGGTCCTGGAGCAATTCTGCTCATGAAAGTGGGACTTCTACGGGCGCCTGGGTGGCTCAGTCGTTAAGCGTCTGCCTTCGGCTCAGGTCATGATCCCAGGGTCCTGGGATCGAGCCCCACATCGGGCTCCCTGCTCGGCGGGAAGCCTGCTTCTCCCTCTCCCACTCCCCCTGCTGTGTTCCTGCTCTCGCTATCTCTCTCTCTGTCAAATAAATAAATAAAATCTTTAAAAAAAAAAAAAAAAGAAAATGGGACTTCCACATACTCCTGCCCCTTCCCATCCAGGGGACCTCAAGCCCCTCATTCTTTTGCTTCCTTTTTCTGGGAAGACATTTTTAGGCGCAAACTTAATGAGTGCAAAAGGGATCAGAAATTTTCATGTTTTTTCTTCTTTTTTGTCCGCTCATTGTTGTAGGAAGAAGGGAAAGCTAGAGTGCTTCTTCTGGAAACATCTTCATGGTTTTCTACTGTCAGTGGTACAATATCCCATTTAAAAATTGTCAGTAAAGCTTTTAGATTAGTTAAAATGGTAAAAGATGTTTTCCTGTGGGTTATAAAGCTCTCTTGCATCCATGACCCTAACTTGAAGCAGTTGTCAGACAATTAGATCTCATTATGAATGAGCTTCCATTCTTTCTGGAAGGAGGGGTGTTGATGGGGGTTAAGGGTAGAGGGCACCTGGAGGAAGGCTGTCAGTCAAGGAAGAGGGTGGGAAGTGAGTTGTCCCCTGCTTAGGGTAGATCAGTGGTTCTCAACCCTGGCTACCTGTTAGAACCACCTGAGGATTCCTTCAACAAATAAATGGCATTAAATAAGGGAGAAGTAGGGAAATTACTTTCCTGCCTTGCCTTCTTCATAATTCAGTGAACATGTATTGAGCATCTACTACTTCCTTGAGCACTATGGAAACCAGCACAGTAGTAGGCCAGTGTTCTAGCCTTCACTGAGGAGACAATCCAGCAGGAAAGGTATTTGCATGAACAGATCGTGAACTGCTGTGGGAGGGACGACAGGGGATGTGCCGGGTCTGTCGTGGGACCACGGAAGCTTCCAGAAGGGATCAGGAGGGAGAGTAGGGAGAAGCTGATGGTTGGCAGACAGCATTCCTGTGGGGGAAACACAATGAGTGAAGGTGAAAAGGAGAGGAGCAGCTTGCTGGGTGCCGGTGGCCACAGGACCTTTGTAGCTGTTGAGATGAAAAAGGCTTGAGTGGGGTAATAGCCATGCCACTCTTGGGGGAAAGTGTGGGGGTAGAGTGACAAACTCGGGGGTACCTGTAAGGCAAGGGTGTGCCTGGTGGATTCTGGAGGCGAGACTGGCTGAGCGAGGTGAGTGGGACAGAGTTTCCTTGGCTGGGCCTTAAACCCACTGTGGGGAACCTGGGAACTCTGGGTGAGACCAGAGTGATCTGGTTGGCATTTTAGAAGGATCCTGCCCATGAGGGTGGAAGCTGGGAGAACTCCGTGTTCCAAAACATAAAGCTAGATAGAATTTTTCTTACATTGCTTGAAATGGTAGTGAAGAACAAAATTAAATTAGTTAATTGTGACCCCGAGTTTCCTTCTTAAGGAATGCAAAGCTACCACAGAGTGATTTTTCATTCAGCTCACCAGGCCACTATTTGAGGGTAATCAAGAGATACTTGAGATTTCAGTGCTGGAAAGCCATGGGCCTTTACTTGTTGGAGTCAGTAATGATGGCGATGTGTCTTTCCCTTCACCTCCCACTGCTGAATGCAGATTTGTGTTTTATTAAGATTGAATTCTTTTTTTTTTTTTTAAGATTTTATTTATTTATTTGACAGGGAGAGACACAGCGAGAGAGGGAACACAAGCAGGGGGAGTGGGAGAGGGGGAAGCAGGCTTCCCGCGGAGCAGGGAGCCCAATGCAGGGCTCGATCCCAGGACCCTGGGACCATGACCTGAGCCGAAGGCAGATGCTTAACGACTGAGCCACCCAGGCGCCCCTATTAAGATTGAATTCTGGGTGAATAAGGGGATATGACAATATCCCCGAGATGTAAAGGAAGCAAGGTTGAGAATCCCCGCTGTAAGACATGTTATACGTGGTCTGTATAATTTGGAGACTCTGCAGCCATGAGAGGATTGGCGGGATACAATGGTGGTGTCTTAGCATCTGGGCTTCTTTGCTGGAGATTGGATTCCCTTAGTGATTTCATTGACTTTCCTCTTCTTAGGTACGGAATTGCGGGAAGCGTGAACGTGACCGGGGATGAGGTGAAGAAACTGGACGTGTTATCCAATTCCCTGGTGATCAACATGCTCCAGTCCTCCTACAGCACCTGCGTCCTGGTTTCGGAGGAGAATAAAGACGCGATTATCACCAACAAGGAGAAGAGGGTGAGTGCGGGATCGGAATGCAATTACCCTCTTCACCAGCAGATGGTACTACTGAGTTGGAAGAATCTTTGCCTTGCTTTTTCTTTATTTCCGGGATTTTCTTTGTTTCCTTAAGTTCTGTTTTCTGAAAAAAACGAATTGCATACTTTTTTAGCGAGAAGTCTTATGTGTCTAGTGCAAAAAATTTCCATAACAGGGGGGTGATTCATTCAGGAAATAAATCAGTAACTTACTGAAAATGCCTCAGTGCACGGTGGGGTTCATGGGTTTTCACTTCATGTGCCGGGAGCAAGTGCTGCATTTTTTTTGTGGTTTCGAAATCAAGTCCAATAAGAGGTAGAGTTCCTCGGAAGAGCAGGACCGTACTCTTCCCATCCCCACTTCTATGCCCCGTCTCCCCAATACACAGTTCTCCAAGGGGGCTCTGGTTTCAGCAGAGATTTCTTCGTGCCTGACAAACTGTTAGACTCATACAGAAAAGAAACCATAAAAACCGTGTGCTCTTGGCTTAATACAGTGGTAAACGTGGTCAGTGCAGGGCATGGCCGGGGAGGGTCTGTAGTCATTCTGGTTTCACGAGCAGTTCATTAAAGACAGGGGTTTGCTGGTGGCCAAAAATTCAACCTATGTTCAGCTATGATGCAAAATAAACACTGGGACTGGCTCTTGTTTTATACACTGGATGTTGGAGACCATTTCTTCATAATTAGCTGAGAGGATGGAAGAGGTAAAGCCAGATTTATTAAGCACCTGCTGTATACCAGGGACTGTGCAAAGCACTTTACTCTCATTGTCTCACACAATTTAAACTACATTACACTGATTATTTTCAACATTTAGTTCCCACTGATATGCCCCCAATCATCTCTCCAGTGTAATCCATCATTTTCTTTCCCAGTTGGCCTGAGTTATACAAGTCTTGGTGCTAGTTCTTGAATATTCCATGCCTACTTCCATGCCAGCTCCTTGAACATTTTCCAGCATATGCTAGATGCTCAACAGATATCTGTTGAATGCATGCATGCGTGAATAGATGGGCTCAGTTGAATTATCTACAGGGAGAATGGGGAATTTCCAAATTTATGGATTATCCCACTTTTTAGCCCACCCTCACCCCCATTGAGCAAGGAATACAAAAGAAACAAAGGTCAGTTTAAGCTAGGGCATTACTCACCAGAAAGTCAGGGAAAAGTAATTTTTGTGGTGGGAGAAATGACTCCCATCTTACCTGATGTTATATTATCTGCGTTTAATTAGCCCGGAGACTCCTTTCCCTATCACTAAAGCTCTCCCGGAACCTTGCACCTAGGAGGCCTGTAAAAAGTATCTGGTGATTTCTTTCTATGCAATGGCAGCTGGAGCAGCCTGTGACAGCAGTGTGGGTGGGCTAGAAATATCCTCTCCCCCCACTCTGTCTTCTGGTCTTCGCATAGGACAGGTGGGTTGGATGCAGCAAAACCTAGGACAGTATTTTTATTCCCCAGACTACTTATGCATACTAGCCCTCTTAATAAGACAGATTCAGAGGCTCTGGGACATTGTTCTGAGATTTTCCAAAGTCTTTTGGCAAAAATGCTCTAAAAGGAGGAAAGCCTGTCTGCAGAGAGGTTCAGAAAGAATCATGAGTAAATCTATAACTGACCTTACCGTGGATATGGATAGAGCTAGCCTGGGTTCATCTTCAGCTTCTCCACCCCTTCTGGGCCGGGTGCCAATTTCAGACCTGGTTTCCTCTCACACCCTTGGTAGCTCTGAGTCCCCAGTGGGCCCACACAGGAGGGGAGGGCAGAGCCAGAGGAGGTGCGGAGGTAGATGGGACCTGGATCACCCCACGTGGGCATCAACTCATCAGTCTATGGGCAGGTTGGCTCTGAGCTCAGGATTCATAGATGCTGATATACTTTGCTCTCCTTGGTTATTGCATTTTTTGATAAGGATAGCCCTTTGCTCTAAATCACTTCTTGATGTAGTGTTACCTGCCATGTACAGCCATTCACACGGAGTGTGTTGTCTGAAAGGGGGCCAATCAGGTGGTTCTTCTCTCTGTGCATTTAGGGGAAGTATATAGTCTGCTTTGACCCACTGGATGGATCTTCTAACATCGACTGCCTGGCCTCCATTGGAACCATCTTTGCTATCTATAGAAAGGTGAGTAGACAGTCTGATCTTTAATGCCTCTTCCCTCTGGTAGTTTCTGGAAGGTTCGAGTTTTGGAGTTCTAGTCTCTGTCCTCCTACTAACCAGACACAGCACTGTAGGCAAACCATAACTCACTCGGTCTTGGGATCCTCACTGGAAGAACTGATGTGTTACTTTTCCGATTGCCTTCTTCATCAGCTGGGTGGGAAGGTAACGTCAGAGGACTGATGGAGCCTGGTTTTGAAAATCTGGATGTGACACAAATATCAGACGTGGTATTAGGTTCCTGGTGGCATTTGAGGACTCCTCTGTTTCTCAGATCTTACTGTATTCATTTTCTATTGCTGCTGTAACAATTGGCTACATGTTTAGAGGCTTAAAGCAATGCCCACTTATTATCTACCATTGTGTAGGTTGGAAGTCTGACAGGCATGGCTGGGTTCTCTGCTTGGGTCTCACAAGGCCAAAATCTGGGTGTCAGCCAGCCTGGCCTCCTCCTGAGAGGATATGGGTGGGGAAATTAGCTCCCAGGCTCACTTAGGTGGTTGGCAGAGTTCAGTTCCATTCTCTTGTGGCTTGGAGGCCCTTGTTTTGTTTGTTTGTTTGTTTTTTGGCTGGCTGATGCTGGGGCCGTTTTCAGCTTCTAGAAGCTTCCTACATTCTGTGGCTTGTGACTCCTATGTCCTTAAAGACAGCAAAGGCAGGCCAAGTCTTGCTCAGACTTCTAATCTCTCTGATATCCCCACTTTGCTTCATCTCCCCTGCCCTTAGCCACAGAAGTTCTCTGATTTTAAGGGCTCATTTGATTAGATTGGGCACATCTGGATAATCCGTGATGATCTATTTTAAATTGGTAACCCTAATTACATCTGCAAAGTCCCTTGTGACACATAATGCAGCACAGTCACAGATTCTGGGGATTAGGGTCTCTTTGGGGCATTTCACCTACCCCACAAACCCAACAACAGAGGGTTTTGTGGGTTGGTTTGTGACCATCCAGGATCACCTGAGACTTCATGTCAAACCACATAATCCACATTAGATCTCATTTGAGGATCAGTCCTCACTCCAGTCAGGATGGCTGGGCCTCTGCCCTGGGGGCTTTCAGGCAGAAGGGAGACCAAGGGTGCTGGATGGGTTTAAGGATTGCTCAGTTGGGTAATCTGCCCTCCAGGCTGGTTGCAGAGGCCCATAGCCATGCCTCTGGCTCACAGCACACATTCTGTCCACTAAACCAGTGATCAAACAAGTTGCAGGCATCACTGACTTTCTACACTATGATTTGGCACTAATTCTGTAATGTGCATGTAATTAACTTTGAGTGTTTTCCTTAGTGCTCTTAGATGATAAACGTTGGGGGGGGGCAGGATTGGCTCTGTCCCATTCACCTAATGTGCTGTCCATAGATGTTGATATTGCAAGATATTTCTGCCTAGCTGACGGTTGTCCAAAGAAAGAGCCCAGAATTTTATTTTCAGCAGAAAACTAACCTTAGCAGGATATGTGAATTAGTCTAAGCTTCTTTCTGAGGCGAACATCAAGGAGGAGGAACGGGCTCTGTGACTCCTGTTTTGGAGAACCAAATGGAAGCCAAGCCACCCTGGACGGGAGGGAACCTCTGAGAATTTTGCTTTCCCAGTTAGTGCTTCTCTTTTTTTCCTTGCAAAGAGAGAAAAGGAGACTTTTGCAGAGGGAGCAGGCGAGAATGACCAGACACTTTCTCTGGTATTTGAGAGAGTGAAAGATTAAGATGATGTTTTGAGGTCAAGCAAAAATGAGCTAGGTGAATAAAGGAGCTTTGCTTCTCCCTTTGAGGTACAGTGTAGAGATAAAAATAAAGGGACAGATGGTGTGATCTTTATGAGATTCTGGAAAAAGACACCCGTGCTGAGCGTGAGTCGGGCACGTTCTGCCCAGCTGCAAGCACTGTGCTCCTGGGTCAGTCCTCGTCTCAGCCCAGGAGCCAGGTGCACATTCTGCTGTCGCTTTCTTACTGGTGAACACATTGAAGAACGGAGAAGTGACTCGACTAAAATCAGCAGTCAGGACATGGCCGGTCGGAGGCTCAAATTGGCTCTCCAGCTCCACCAATCGCATTTCTTAATAGCTTCTCACCCGCCTCCAGTTTTATTGAGATATAGTTGACATATGGCATTGGATTAGAATAGGTGAACAACATAATGATTTAAGATATGTATGTACATATGTATATGTGTATGCATATATATACACTGTGAGATGATCACCATAGTAAGTTAACATCTATCACCTCACATAGTTAAACAAATATATATATTTTTTCTGGTCATGAGAACTTTTACGATCTACTCTCATAGCCACTTTCAAATGTACAATCCGTACTCTTAACTATAGTCACCATGCTGTACATTACATCCTTACAACTTATTCATCTAATAACTGGAAGTTTGTACCTTTTGGCCACCTTCACCCATTTGCCCCTCACTCTTCCACCCCTGCCCCTGGCAACTACCAATATGTTGCTAGAAAAAAAACCACAGGAGAATATCATCATGCCTTTGGGGAAGGTAAATATTTCTTAAACAAGAGATTGAAAGCAATAACCATGAAAGAAAGGGCTAATGAACTGTAGTTCATTAAAATTAAGAACTTTTGCTTATCAGAAGACAAAATTAAGAGAGTGAAAAGGTAACTACAGACTGGAAGAAAAGATTTGCAATACATATTTCCAATGAGGGACTCTTACGCAGAATAAGAACTTCTACAAATGAATAAAAAAAATACCATCAATCTAATCAAAGGGATGGGCAAAGACTCAAACAGGCACTTCACTAAAGAGATTTTTTTTCCACAACTGGTTAATAATAAGCACAAGAGAGATGCTCAATCATTGGTCCTCAGAGAAATGAACATTAAAACAACGAGACATCATTCACCCCAGGAGAATGGCTAAAATGAAAAGTGTATACCAAGTGTTGATGAAGAAACTGGAAATTGTACGTTGTTAGTGGGAGTAAAAAATAACACAAACACTTTGGAAAGTTGAGATGGCACCTGCTGATGATAAACAGAGTCATACATTATGGTCCAACAAATCCACTCCTGGTACGCACCCAAGATAAGTGAGTGTTCGTGTCTGTCCAAAGACATGTGACAAACGATTCATAATAGCTCCTGATTGGAAAACAAAGTCCAAGTGTGTATCAACATTAGAATAGATGAATAAATTGTGGTGTATTCATACAACAGAAAACTACATAGCAATGAAAAAGAACAGAAAACTGCTATGTGCAATAACAGATAAAATTGCAAAGACATAATGTTGTGAAACAAGCTAGATAAAAAAGAACACATGCTTTGTGATTTCATTTATATGAAGTTCTAAAACAGGCAAAGGTGATTATCCTTTTGATGTCCACATGATAAAAGGCAGGGTAGACGTTACCTTTGGAGGAGGTGATAGTGATAGAGGAGAGGCACAAGAGTCTGGTAGGTTGTTAGAAATGTTCTGTAATGGGGCACCTGGGTGGCTCAGTCAGTTGGGTGTCATGATTCCAGAGTCCTGGGATCAGGCCCCGTGTCAGGCTCCCTGCTCCATGGGAAGACTTCTTCTCCCTCTCCCTCTGCCTGCCGCTCCCCCTGCTTGTGCGCTCTCTTGCTTTCTCTCTCGCTCTCTGTCAAATGGATAAATAAAATCTTTTTTTTTTAAATGTTCTGTAAATTAATCTTGGTAGTTACATAAGTATATATTACATGTATGTAAAAACTCATTGAACTGTACAATTTGGATTTGTGTGCTTTGCTATGAGTAAGTTGTATCTCAATACAAAGAAAAATGGTCTACTTTTCCATACCTTCTACCACCAAACACAGTGAGCCTTTGCAATTGCCATTAACTTTACTGGTAAGGGGCTATAGGATGCATCCTTTCCTTTACCTATGACAGATTTAGATGTTTTATTGGGGTAGGAAGAAATAAAAAGACTGGAGAAAGATAACACTAAATCGTTTGCAAACTACTCTGAGATTTTCTGAGAAGAGTGTCATAGCAATAGAGATGACTAATGTGAAGTAGATCTTTAAAATCTCAAAATCAGAAAAAAAAACCGAGCCTTTCTTTTTTCCATGCACTGAAATAAATTATAGATGGGTTAATGAATTTCATGGAGAAATAAAACATAGAAGAAATAAAACATAGAAGACCATTTGTCTGGCCTTATCTTGATGTAGGAGAAATTCTATCTGGCCATAAAGACAGAGAAGAAAATAATATGGGCTGTAATGAATAATTTTATTTATTTATTTATTTTTAAAGATTTTATTTATTTGAGTAAGAGAGAGAGAGAGGGTGCACGAGCAGGAGGGAGGGGCAGATGGAGATGGAGAAGCAGGCTCCCTGCTGAGCAGGGAGCCCTATGTGGGACTCAATCCCAGGACTCTGGGATTATGACCTGAGCCAAAGGCAGACGCTTAACCTGCTGAGCCACCCAGGTGCCCGAATAATTTTAATTACCAAACAATCGCACTGCAAAAGAAAAGGACACTGTAAATAAAATTAAAAGGCAGATGGCACTCGAGGAAAATAGATGTAACACATATAAAGCATTACTATCTCTCATATGTAAAAAGGTATTAAAATAAACAACAAGAAGATAAATACCCTGAGAGAGAAATACACAAAGACATGAAACGGGCAACTTACAAAATAAGAAATAAAATTGGCCAAGAAGGCAATGAAGTTTACATTGTTAACTATAAAAAAATGGAAATTAAAACAAAAGAAATGTAATTTTTTTTAGCCATCAAATTGGCCAAGTTGAAAAAATAGTGCTCTTTTATATTCATCAGATTGAATTAAAGCAAATGCTTTGGGGCACCTGGATGGCCAGTCAGTTAAGTGTCTGACTCTTGATTTTGGCTCAGGTCATGATCGCTGAGTGTGGAGCTTGCTAAAGATTCTTTCTCTCCCTCTTCCTCTGCCCCTCCCCCCACCCCACCCCGCTCCCACTTGTGCATGCACATGTGCTCTT